TTAGAGAGGGGGAGCTCAAGTTCAGTGTATGAAACACAACTTCTAAGTTGGGCCCTAATCAAGTTTTCTACTGCCTTCAAGAGCAGTCTGGGGTGAGTTAATATTGTAATAAAATGCAATAAATTTTGTGCTTGTTATCTAAAAGAATGTTAAAAAGTTACATTTTTTTGCAAGGCACTGTAAAAGTCAGGATGAGCATCATGAGGTAATGTAAAGCGTACAACATAACAGCTGCCACGGTTATTTTCCAATGTAATCACTTCCCTTTTCTCGATTTGGAGCTGGAACATGAACGAACCGCCGGCGGTGCAAATTTAAGACAGGTTTATTTTGAGCAGTTAAACAAACACGGTCGTCACCAAGTGCTTTACAGGAAACATACACAAATACACATACAAACAAGGATCGAACCCCCGCCCCAAAATGTGTTCACAATTATCTACTTCATGGCTGTCAAAATAGAATACAAAAACAAGAGGCAGCGCAAATCTTGGAACTCATGACAGCAGTCCAACTTCTTCTGGAATCAGAGACAGCCAATCCTTCGTTCAATGAGCTGTCACGTATTGCACAATTCTTCGCTTCAAGTCGGAGCAAGTGAACTTGATTGTGACCTCAAAACAGGCAAAGGAAGCTAAACTTAACTCTTCACCCTATCTTATTTCATTCACTGAAGTCATGCCAGAGCCCAAACACATTCCTGCTCTGAAGTCTGAGAACTTTCTGAACTTCAAGGAAAGACAAAAAAACAAAATTAAACCTGATGAAACCATGTAATTTAATGCAGAAAGAGTCATACCATACAACCCAAATTCAATAATCAGCAATACAAATCAATTTTTCATCATGATGCACTATTAACCTAATTTGTGTTCCACAAACAAATGTGATCTGGGATGAGATTAAAAAAAAAAACTATTAAGTTTCACAAAATAAGAATTGAATGGCAGCAAAGCAGAAAGCTGATCTGAAAAAGGTAACCCACGTGTGTTAAGTGTACAAATACACTCGCCTCTACTCTTAAATGTAGCCCACGCCCAAAGTTGGAATGAGTCAAACCTGAGTCGTCTTGTGGGAGAGGGGGAGTTCAGCATATACAGCAGCTTTCCTGACAATGTAAGATTCCCCTCACAAGTGTTTTAAGACCCTTCCAAGAAACGTATACCTCCTCATATCTTTAGATCGTCTATTCTAGTTCGGCTGCTGCTGTGCTTCCCGCCATGACTGGACCTAGTTTGCGTAGGAGACCCGGGGGCTGATACTGATCCCTTTTTTCCCTTCACGTCACATTCCTCTGGCTTGCTGCTGCTCCTCTCCACCGCCAAATTGTCCTTATTCTGCTTGTAGGCAGCCTTGCTGTGGTAAGGGTGGAAAGATGAGTCTGTTCCCTCGGACAGGGGGGAGAGGTTGTAGCTCGGTACTGGAGGGTAAGATGGTTGGACCTGGCTGTGTTCTCTGAAGTAGTCATCGTAGCTTGGTACCAGAGGCACAGGAGTCTCCCTATGCCCCTTGGAAATGCTCTGCAGGTTCTGTTGACCCCGCCTGAAGGTCATGCCCTGGCGGCACTTGGTGAACCCCAGGTGATAGACCTCTATGAGGTTGAGGAACAATGAAACACTGGCCACCCCAAGCATGAAGATGATGAAGATAGTTTTCTCTGTAGGACGGGATATGTAGCAGTTAACCACATTAGGACAAGGTGGTCTGTCGCACGTATACATGGGTTTCAGCTCAAAACCGTACAAGAGGTACTGGGCTACGATGAAGCCCACCTCAAACAGTGTCTTGAAGATCACATTGAAGACGTACGTGCGCAAGAGCTCCCCCTGGAGCCGCACCCGTCCCTTCTCATCCCTTATGAGAGCTTTCTTCTGATGAGCATCCACAAAGGGAGCTTGTTTGTCGACTTGTTGTTGCTTCTCTTTATCTTTCTCCTTATGCTTCTCCTCCATCCGCACCAGGTGTAGAATGTGTCCCAGATAGATGAGGGTGGGCGTCGACACAAAGATGATCTGCAGCACCCAAAAGCGGACGTGGGAGATGGGGAAGGTGATGTCGTAGCACACGTTCTCGCAACCGGGCTGCTTGGTGTCGCAGGTGAACCCCGACTGCTCGTCGCCCCACACCTTCTCGGTGGCGGCGCTGAGGATGAGGATGCGGAAGATGAACAGGACAGTGAGCCAGACCTTTCCGACCACAGTGGAGTGCTCCTGGGCTTTTTCCAGAAGCTTTCCCAGCAGGTTCCAGTCTCCCATGATTGTCGGGTCACTATGATAGAAATGAAGATGGAGGACACACACAAAAAAATCTCTTTAGAAAAGTTTAGAGTATCTTTTCTTGTCCTAAATTAATATAAACTGTCTAAAAAGTTACAGAAATTCAAAACAAACAACCAAGTCCCCGACGAGCTGAGGGTTCGGCAGCTGAGCAACGAGTGGCCTCATCCATGTGGATGCAGACAGGATTATATTTACTTTAGGAGAGTATATATTTGGTGGGTGCAGACAGGAGCAAGGCAGGTTTCAGGCATGATTCTGCATGTCCTGGCCTTTAAGACCCAAGCATTGGCAACACGATCCCTCACGAAGGTGAAATCAGACACTGGCCAGATGTGTTGGAGGTCCAAACCAGAGACATTTGAATGATGCTGCTACTGTCGGCTTCTGATAAAAAGCTGTGCAATAAATGTTTCCCATCTCAGATATATTTAATGTTCAGTAGAATGATGCTATTGTGAATTGAATTGTTGTCTTGGGAGCCCTTGCAAAAATACATTTCTAAAATACTTTAACAATCACAATTACAGAGGGAGCAGGCGTTAAAAACAAAAATGTATATCAATCCTGCTTACCTTAAGGTAACAAAATAGAAACACAAAATAATTGACTCAAATCATTAAAGGCTAGAAAGAGCTTGTCTTAAGATGATTGACAAACTGGTCATAAATCTAAGCTCTACAAGTTTTTTTTACTGCAAACATAAAATCACTTGAATGACACAACTCACATTTACAGGTGAAAACCACTTTGTGATCTCAAAACAACTCATGGAGTGAAGCTTTTCACGTCCTGAAGGGTCCATGGAGCCGTCATGTTCTGCAGACAGGCCTCAGTGTGGCGCCTGATCCGAGGGCCCCCAAGCAATGCCCTTGAATGGACAGGAAAAGCGAAGTCCGTCTAGCGATACTGAAAAAAACCATCCGACTCAATCGTCCATCTTCAAAGCCTGTTAACAGAAATCAGGACCCAGGCTGCGGCCCAGGGGTCTTCCTCAGACACCTAGCGCATTGGAAGCCCTCTTAACCATGTCCAGCTTGCTCTTCCACATCACCCCCTCCCTTCTGAGGTTAAATTTGGCACAGTGGACTCTCTCTAATGTAAACTTCTGAAGACCTTCTTTCACAGCTGTTACACTGAGTGACAGGGAAGCGAGCCAATGATGTTTGTCCTTTATGCCTGTCTAGCCAAAAGAGCTCCTGGGGACTAAATATAGCACAGGGGCCTATCTCCTATCAGAGAGGGTGGGTGGGTGACATGGCTGGGAGATGAGCAGCCTGCGGTATCCTTGTGTTACAGCCTGAGGAAAAAAGCAAGCTATTGGTTGTAAAATAACATAAGTCAAATGATCAGGTAGTTTCTTTATGACACTGTATGTAACAACCCAAAATACTGCATGTGGGGCTTTTACCTGGGTGTGAACTGGTGCGTTTATGCATGTAAACAAACATGCATTTGAGTGCATAAAAATGTGTCGAGTCAACGACAATGTGAAAACAATGATGGCGTCTTTTGACATGAAATTTTCAGACCTCGTCTAATACAACGGAAGGAATACGCAGATGCGAGTTCTAATCAGGATCTGTTGAAAAGCTGGTCAACGTCAAACATTTACTAGAGTCGAGACGAAAGCAACACCTCAGTGAATGCTAAATGTGATTAAGTTTATTTTACTTACAAGTATTTTAAAACAGTAGTATAGGCAAACTTTGATGTTTTCAGTTTGTTTGGCCATAAGAGTAAATAAAATAAATTGTTCATTGATAAATGAACAATGTTCAATTTTTACTCAGAAGCTGAAATGTCCAGGTCAAATGTTGAAGAGTCAACAGGGCAGATCTACTTCAACCGACCCTACTAGTTGACGTTTGCACACCAATTCAAAATTCAACGCGTCTGATTTTTTATAAAACATAAGAGCGAAAAAAAAACCTGCTTAACTGCCTTTCTGACAGATTGTTTGCCATTGAATATTTCATACAAAGTACTAGAAAACCTTTCCTGTGGATGTTTTTTAGTGCTTCAAAACACAAAATGCAGAAAGACTGTTGTTAGCTCCTATTGCTAACAATAGTTAAGCACACGAGGGTACTCTATTTTTATTTTTTTACTCTTTTCATTGAGAGCAAAAAGCCTTGTCTCTGTACACTTGTGCCAGATTTGATAAAGGCATCAATAGTTTCATCAATAGTTTTGTAACCTTAAAAGTGTCAATAAAAAAAAGAAGTAAAATGTCATAGATTCTGCTGTACTATACTCTCATGTGCAAACTGATCAAGGACTGGCTTCCAAAGTGATACATTTACAATGGAAATGTTTCACAGCACCTATTTTATACTAGATTTTTGTGTTCTGGAAGAAGTCCCTCTATTTCACAGCTCATATATACAACCATGCTGGCAGTAAACTGGAAGTTTTGAGAGCCTGGACCAACTGCACCTGCAAGGGCCCATCAAATGCATCCTGCTTGCAATGCTCCGTCAGGCAACAAATATGCAGCGAAACACATTCGTATGGCTTTCTTAAATCAGATGGGTTTCCCACAGTGTCGACTTGTGTCGGAATGAGTGCAAGACACAGAGCACCACAACCTAATGCACTGTGGTGTTGGATTTGTAAGAAATCATTACTATGCAAATAAAATTTTATTGATTGATTGATTACTATGCCTTAATATACCGGAGAAGATTTAGGCAAGAAAAACGGCACAATTAAATGAGTATAAAAAGGAAACAAGTAAATGATTTTATTATACATTTATATAAATAAATTGTAAAATCAACAAATATACAGTTAAGGTGTCATTAATGCAGAGAATACATATTACAGGGATGATTTATTAGTTTGACGAAGCTTCAGAAGGCAGAACATCTCTCACCCTTTTCAGTCGGGCTCTTTTTGGCGACTGTTAGCTTTGACTTGAGCGAATGATCTGCTATCAGCTGATTGATTTCATTTTGTCTGTATGAAGACAGCCTTTGAGTTATCCAAGCCGCTTTAGCCTCGTCCTCGGGGCGACTCGTGCACCGTTTGCAGGCCCTCGCAATGAGGTAAACCACCTCGGCCAGGTTGAGCAGCACGCAGACCCCGGACACGGTCAGCATGAACACTGTGAATATAGTCTTTTCTGTTGGTCTGGAGACGAAGCAGTCCACCGTGTTGGGGCAAGGGTATGAGTCACATTTCACCAGACGCACCATTTTAAAGTCAGGATAGATCAAGTAGAAGACGTAGAGGAACGCCACCTCAAAGATGAGTCTGAAGATGATGCTGATCATGTATGTCCACCAAAGAGCTCCTGTGATCTGAAACTTCTGGTTCTTGATGTGCTCCAGCTCCTTGGGGCTGCCGCGGCCCGACCTTTTCAGGGCCTTCTTGTCGACATGTCGCCTGTGGGCCACGTGCATGGCCACCAGCAGCGCCGGGGTGGACACCAGGATGAGCTGGAGAGCCCACAGCCGGATGTGCGAGATTGGGAAGAACTGGTCGTAGCAGACGCTGTTGCAGCCGGGCTGCTGGGTGTTGCAGGTGAAGCCGGACTTCTCATCACCCCAAACGCTCTCGGCGGCAACCACCAGCACCAGGATGCGGAAGATGAAGATGACGGAGAGCCAAATGCGACCGATGCCAGTGGAATGCCTGTTTACACCGCTGATCACGGCATAAAAGGTTCCCCAGTTCATCTTCGACTCCAGGTCTGTAGAAAGATCAAAGTAGAGTACATCTCCAGTTATTTAAATTAACTGAAATGAAACAAAATTCATTAAATTCTTTAAAAGGCCCTCAAGAAAAATAAGACAACCAAAAGACAAACTAAGTCTTTCCAGCACACTGCCAGTATTTGGTCTCCAAACCACCGTCCATCACTGACTCTTTTGAATAAATCAAAGCAAACTGTTGCAAGAATTCAGTGTTCAAAGCCTTACCAGGCTCATCCGGCTGTGCAAGCGGCGTAAGCAGCACCGGGGCCAAAGATGACCATCCTGAGGCCTGACATGAACATCAAGCTGGACTCGTTGGACACAGCTGACAAGAAATGCCAAAGTAGCCTGCTGGCTCTATAAAAGCAGGGGCGATGGCCTAACGCAGAGCAGCATCACAAGACGCAAGAAATCGAAGCCAATTGCAAAACTTTTGCCGAGTCACGTGGCTTGCTGACCCCATATTAATACTGTACTCCAAAACTGGCCAACCACCCATTCACAGACAGACAGACAGAAAGCTGTAATTCCTCCAAGGAGCCAGAAAGCCATTGTCTAATGGCAAAAATACCACAAAAAAAAAAACAACAATAATTTCCTTTCGAACACTATAGAGAATATGCCATGCAAATACTTATTCAGAATTATCTGCTAGAATACTTTCTAGATGGATGTCACCTACATCAAATCATATCTCCATTCACAATTGATGTTAGTATATACAAAATTAAGACCAGAGTATGTATTTTACCTTCAGTTGTGGTGGTACACAAAAATGTGTACAAAATGGGAAGAAATTGAATAAAATATTTTGTTTTTCAGCAAGCCAAAAGGCTGGAATGAAAACACCATGCGTTTGGAAAATGCAAATCATCCCTCCGCCACTAGCCGCTGCCCTGCACCATAGCAGTCATATGCTCTTATATAAACTATTTACATACAATGGTGGCCTTTATCAGGCTGCAACAAGACTCTTTAGAATTCAGATCAAACGCCTCGATTTCCGCCCACCCCGGGGCAAAAGAAGGAATCTGTGTGGACACAAAAGGCCTCAGCTTCGCCACATTATTTATTGTGCTTGGCGGTTCAGTGACGTAAAGGAAGCTTTTGACCTGGGCCGATTTTGACCGCGGCGAGTCAGGTTGGCCGTTTACAAAAAGCATGACTGTTCAGATAATCCATGGATAAATAATGTGATGATCCTCTCAACTGTTCCAGCATTCTTTTTAATGTGTTACACAGTTCAGTGGTTTCTGAATTGATTTCAAAACATCCTGGCAGAAACCTGGGCCAGACTCTTAGCCCACTGTTGTTAAATTATAACAAATTATCAGTAATTTACAACAGCAGTTTGCAGTCTATGAAAGAGTCTCTGCTGCACATGAACTGAAAGCGAAAGAAGATGAATCACTGAACGCTCGGGCTCTTTAAACCCACCCAGAAACTTTCATGGCTCCATGAAGTGATTCCTTACACTTGGTTCTCATAAGTCAAGAAGAAAAAAAATGATGAAGAGGAACAAACTAAACTCCAGAGGAAAACAATGCCCATTTGTCATTCACATACATTCAAATAATCTACAGCAGAATACTGTGCTATTTCAGCGTCACTTCTGACAGGGCCAGTGGGAGGGTTTGCGTGGAGAAGCTGATTCTTTGAATGAACTCAACAACTCATTTGCATTCAATCCACAGAAGGGAGACAAGAAGCACAAACTGTGCCAATGATAGTAACTTTATTTCAAAAGCAGGAACACACATGGAAATTAACATGCAATTGGACATGAAGCCAATGTGGCTTTTTGATCTGAAGCAGGCAAGCAATGAATTTAAGAAATACAATAAATCTGGTGTACAGACAAGTAGAATTTTATGATGCAGATAATCTAGGTGCACTGTCAGTTCAGACACGCTCCAGGGAGACTTTTTATTTCTGCTTAATCATGCACTCATCACACCTTACGTCGCTCTAAATATCACATATGCTATTAAAAGATAACAAGATGCTGAAGGAAGAAATGTATAGAAATATACAAGTCAGTGTTTCTCTGTGGAAGTACCAATACAATACAGTAGTGCTGGGCTGGCTTTTAATGGCACTTAGATATAATTCTAAAGCAAAAACTACTAGTATGTTTAAATACAAACATATCAATTGTGATGTAATGAGCCAATTTATGCTATTTTCTAGAGACTTCTGAAGTTGGAACTTCATAAAAGGTCTGAAACCCATCTGGATTTGAGGAAGCTAATTAACAGTAGCATTATGAGCTTATAATAGATTTCTATTTTCACACACTGTTAATGCGTTCACTATAACAAAATATTGTAAATAAAAACAAAATACTACATTTAAAAGGTAAACTCTCAAAGAATGTAGTTCTGCAGTAAGCCTGGTCAAAAAAAGTGAAGTTTCTAACCAGGATTTAATTATTTAAAATAATTTGTGTGTAGTTTCTTTATCTAAGAAACTACACACATGGTGATCACTCACTTTCAGAAGACGATGTAAAGATCAAAAACTGAGTGCAGAGTAAAAGGCTTTTGAAACCCATTTTGAATTCACTGTATATAAATACTCACACTCTGCAAATCAATCAATACTTCAGCGTTACAAATTGCATACATTTAAAGATTATTTTACTACTCTGCAAACTTTCTTAACACTAGCTTACAATCTCCTTCAGTGTCAGCTCACAAGGCTTACTTTTTATTTTGAGAGTAGCATGAGATGAGATATTTTTCCCATTCAGACTCTTGTTCCTTCATTTTACGTTGAATAGCACCTGTTGATAAAAATCAAAAAGGTGACAAAATTAAAAATCATAAGCAATACGACCAACACAGCTGGGAGGAGATTCACTTGCTCTACTTACTTTTTTTCAGAAGACAATTGTTCTTCACTTTGCTGTGCCTTGCATGTCCATTTTGGGCTAATCTCAAAGACAGAGATGCACCCCTCCTAAAAAACACAGACTTGCTGGCATTTTCAAACATTTACAGTTACTTGCATATTTATCACTTCACAACAAGAAAATGAAACATTCAGTATTTTTTTTTCTGTGACTGATCAACAGAGCAATGCATAATTGTAAAGTAGAAGGAAAATGACCAATTTTTGAAACTCTAAAAATTTGATAAAAGTGTTATGCATTTGTATTTTAAGCCAGTGTGAATGAATCCTTTGTAAAAATCATTTTCACAGTTAGTTCCAAGTCATTTAAGTGATGTTTCCACCTGTTTCATAAATCAAAAAATTGTGAATCCTGTCCATTTTTCCTCAAAAATGGACTCAACCTGATTGGACAGAGCACCTGTGAGGTACTGACACAGATTCTTAACTGGACTTGGTTCTGGGCATTAATTAGGCTTTTGCTGTGATTGAAACCACACCACTATAAAGTGCACTTGTATGACTTTTCTGAGATCTACCTACCATGACCAAAGGAAAAATGCGAAGGACCATGAATACTTTTGAGGGCACTGTACAGTCACTATAAGTTCCAGATGATTTGGACTTACCTTCTCATCTAATCCAACACTTCTATCTGAACACTAAAACTGGCTCCCCAATTTAAAAATACCACTTTATCCCCCTAATGAGAAACTGATGGCATTTCCGTAATTCTCTAATTAATGAGTGGTTTATTATCAAGTACCTCATTGCTCCAAGTTTGCCCTTCTCCAGAAACAGCTCAACTGTAACAGTGGACCCCTGTGGATACATTCTGGCATACAGCGTCCTGTCATGTACCATTGCTCTGAACCAACCCACCGCCTCCTCAGTCCAATCTGTGCAATTAATGGGCTTCACCTGAAGGGGAGGAAGCAGACCAAGTACCATGGGCTGAGTGAATTTCCTTCATTATGAGGCAATAGATAAAACTGTGACTAAGTAAGGGAAATAATTAGCCTCTCTTTATTACAGAGCAGTCTGTTAACATTTTCCATGAATACAAGTTGTGGACATTAGTTCCAGAAAGCGATGTAGCTGGGTGAACCCCAAGAGGAAGCTGCTCGATTTAGAGTATAGGACCACTTACATGTGCCATAGAAACCTGCAAAGCCTGACGTGGAAGCGCCGCCATTTCTGAGGAAAGCGGCTTAATATTACAGAGTGACACACAGGAACTGTCACCGTAGTCCAACCTGTTCACCTCCACGTTTATGGATGACTTTTTCCCAGTTCCATCTATAGCATTCAAGACAGAACAAGTTAGTCTGAAATTCCCCAGAGGTAACAGTCTGTCTGAGTGACATTGCTACCATCTAGAGGCTAGTCTTTGTAAAACCATTTCACATTTAACGGGACTCACTACTGCTCACTCCAGAAATCCCAGCCACCTGAGCCCGGAACCACTGCTCCTTTTGTGGAGACCAGCAGATGACCTGAGTGCCGATGTCTGGGATGCAGTTCTGCTCAGCACATAAATGACTGACTTTAAGGCTGCAAATCAAAAACAAAACACAATTACATGAGGAAGAGAATGCCACAAGTCAAAAACAATAAAGATGAAAGGGTATTTAACATGTAAACATGACATGGGGTTGTGTGTGACTTATGACTTACTCTGTAAAAAGAACCTCCAGTTTCTTATGGGAGTCTGCATGTTGGATGTAGAAGTGGCTGGGGCTGACAACATGAGACACAATCACTTCAGTCTCTTCAAACTTCCGGATCTCAAATTCGGGAATGTCTACAATATCAGCCGCCAGCCGACCTGGGTGATCCGAGTTGTTTTTTTCGAGTCGGGGTTGCGTGTGCTCCAGAGTTTGGGGTTTTAATTCTATACTGATACTAGAGTTCTCCACCTCAGCAAATCCTTGTTGCCATTTCTTAGTATCCAAAGCAGTGCTATGAACAGATCCTTCTGTTAAGATGTCTCCTATATCCCACAATTCAGTTTCCGTGGCAATGACGCAACTGTAGATCAAAGATCCGCAGGAGTGGACTCTTTTCACTTGGAAAACCGGAGCATGGTTAACGTTTGCGTGCAACGTTTTAGGACCTTGCTCGTCCACAGAGTCATCTGTCACAACATGTCTGAATTGATAGCTTTTTGTTTTGACGGTAGGTGACGTCCACAGGAGAGACCCTGAATTGTTTGCCTTGCATTTGCTTTTAGTCTGCTCCAAAAAAGTGACCTTGAGTGAACTCTTGGTTGTAGCTTTCTCTTTGAGAAAGCGCAGCAGTTGGGAGGAAGTTTGCTTTTGGTGTAGCACCTGGACGTCATCGCCATGGCCCCAGATTACTTGAGTCTTCAGGTTGCACTGTGACTTCTCTGAGAATGCATCTTGAATAGGAGGTAGTAGGACTTCTGACTTCTCTTCACTTGCCACATTGCTCTGAATAATGGCAGCTGGGATGTGTATGGAGACTTCTTTGTTTTTATCTTCAGACAGGGCCTTTTCCTCTTCCGACTTTAAACAGGAGGAGCTTGGAGTTAGAGGAGTGCTGACCAAGTCTGATGACTTGCCACCATCTTGTTGCTTTAAAGGGGGCAGGGAATCAAGAGAAACTTTAAGCTGCTGGTGGGACAGAGCGGCTTTGAGTGGCTGAAAGTAGTTGAAGCTAACCCTATCAAATGATTGGTAGTCTGTGAACATAGGGGAAACAAGAAAAGATTTTATTTTTTAAAGCCTGAAACTGTTCCCTTCACTTCAGCCTTCAAAAGAACCAAATCATTTGATTTATTAGACTTACCAGCTTTATAATTCTTTAATAAAGCTGAGAGCTTCACAATTTCGTTGCACTTTCTGTCCAGAGCATTTATGACATCTTTGAACACAGGGTTTGGAACAGATGAGTTGAGGACACCATGTGCATCTTCATAGGCCTGGTGGATAGGACACAGTGGTTTATCAGAGGGGGGAAAAAGGCAGTAGGTTTGTCATATGAGCTGAAAAGAAGAAGCATAAAAGATTAAAAACAGCTCTGGGAATTAACTGATACTTTTAGGAAGAAAACATTGAGCACCAGTCATAAATCTTATCAAAACAGACCTAAAACAAAAAAGTGGAAAACAAAGTGCACCCTTTCAACTCAGCTGCTCATAAATCTCTCCATCTTGGATCAAACTAAGAAGCTAGAGTAGATCAGTTTGTTTGCTGGAATCTTTTTTTAGTTTGAAGGGTTCCATCACACTGAAGGAAGACCAGCGACTTCCTTCAGGATTTGTGTCTATTGGGTTTGTGTATATTTTGCAGCATAAATAGGAAATACCAGTGACATCAGCTGGCCTTGCCTGAATATGAAGGTACAAAATAAGTACATTTCCAGACGTTAATTTTATGTTCTTAGTAACTGACTGTAAAAAACTTTTAGTCTTTCAAATGTCTTCTAGTTTTTATATAGAGATTTTCAAAGAAAAAAAAACATTTAGCCATTCTACTTGTTTTATCAGAGAAAGACCATATTTAAATATATAGTATATACTTTCTATTTAGATAGTTCCCCTCAACTCTATAGGAGTTGGGGAGATTTGTACTTTTTTTTCCTTTCATACAAGGACGAGATGATACAGCAATAATTCCATATCCCAACTTTTACAGTGCAATATCTATCATAATAAAACCTACACTGATGATTTTTCCAATTTTCCCACCTAAAAAGAATGAAAAGATCTGTATTTTTCATCTGAAATACACCAACGATGAGAAAATTTAAAATAAATTCAGAAAATCACATGGTATTTAAACACATATTCATTCTGTTAAGTGAAGTTTTATGAGCCAAATATGTTATCTCAATAAGCAATATATTACTGTGCCAATCGCATTTGCATTATGGTTTACCACCGCAAATATTTTTGAGCAAAACCTGAAAATAAAGTAAATCAAGTCCACACAACGGCTCGCAATTTGTTCTACGCCTTGTAAAAATGCTTCAATATTAGTGACCCCACATACTGCCTATTAGAGCAAGTGAGGCTTATTTGATCATACACATTTTTTTTATCATTATGAATTTCGCTAATGAGTACCATTATCTATGTCATATTTATTTGACTATTCTGTCCCCATTCTGACTTCAAGTTATTTTCTAAAGCATTAACATAGCAGACAACATGCATGCTAGTTCTGTAAAATTGCTTAGCCAACACCCTGAGTGTCACAGCTTTTTTTTTTTTTTATCCCTGTAGTTAACATTACCTGGTTTGTGAAGTCGCGAAGTTCTTCCTCCAGTTTATTTCGAGCCTTTTCCAGCAAGTACAGTTTATAGATTAACTGCGCTTTCTGGATGATTCTGGACGGCCGCGGTTCCTGGCCGACACCAATCCGCCGGGTCGCCATGCCGACAGTTATTTTTCCTACGCGTGCGCACTGCCGAGCGGTCAGTTAGGCGTTTCGGTAGAACGTTCTTTCCTTGAGTAATTTGCCAAATTAGAATAAAAATACTGTTCCGAGTGTAAAAAACACAATTTCCTCGGCGTATGAACTGTTCCCACACCACAGTAGACCCTCTGAATGTCTGCTGGTTGACCCCGCTGGTTTCTCGCTCATTTCCCTGCAACAATCCTCCCCTCAGTTCTCACCAACCGTCGCTGGTTTTTGATCGGATGAACTCGGCGTTCGCCACGATGAAAAGCAGCTGCTGGTTTTCACTCTTTGTCTTGAGGAGTTTTAGCTCGACGTAAACCACGAGCAACAACGTTCGGAGTGCTGTTTCCCCCGGTGTTTCACCGATGAGTTTTGAATAGACTCGGGTCGAGTGATCCAGAAATAGTTTTACGAAGGCTTTTGTGGCTCCGGAAGTTTGGTGACGAGCCCCGCAAGGTGGCTGAGTCACGTGACTGATTGAGAAAACGGTCGGTTGACCTTGCAATTTGAAACATGACATATGTGTAATATGTGGAAACAAATGAAAACATTGAAGTCTGCGATTATTATTTTTACTATTATTATTTGTTAAGATGTTCAGTCAGATAATTAAATACAGTTTTATTTGTGAAATCTATTTTGAAGTTAAAGTTTTTCTTTTCTGAGTGTTACTGGGCCTTGAGCAACCATATGGCCCAGAAAATACCGTTGTTTTATATTCTGGTTCTTTGTAATTCATCCTGGAGGTAGCTTGAAAAGAACACAGAGAAGAAAGCCCTCTGTGTTTGGGCTTTCTTCTTCCATCCCTCCTTAAAAATGTATCTGCCGAGATTGGCTGGCGATGACCTCCCGAGCCACTCTCACCCCGCCACGATGCAGAGTGTTCCTGTCAGTTGCTCTGCAGTTGCCGTACCGAAATGTAATGCAGCCTGTCAGGTTGCTCTCAGCGGTGCCCTGGATAAAGGTGGTGATAAATGGAGGACTTATCCCTGGCTGCGGCTCTCCGAGGGAGCCCTTCCTCACTCTAGTGAGTGTTCAGCCTTATGAAGCATATCATCCCAGCCCCTTCACTCCTATAGCTGAAGCTTTCTCCTCCCGAGGCTTTCGACCCAGCCCGAAACACCTTCTTACTGAATCTCTGTCATGTGTGAAACGACTCCAGCGAAATAGGGAGTTGGAAGTTGATCGGCCACTAACAAAAAAACATATGGCTTCACAAGGCCATGTTTTTCACGCTAAGATGGAGCCAATGTGTCAAAAGGGCTTAGGCTAGAGTTACATTTATGTCTGGCATTTTGTGTGTAGACACCTGCTTGCATTCTCTCGATAGTATACAAACACACAAAAAAAGGGGGAAAAAAAGTTAATAAAATGTGAAGAATTTCATTATATTTTTTCATTAGATTTCATGTTTGTTCACTGGATAAATAACTTTCAGATTTACATTGCCATTTTTTTTCTGCAATAAGCAGTTTAGTTGTGATTCTAGGTTTCACTGCTTACTCTCATGTGCTACTAAAAAAGCTGCAGCATTTCTAAATGCCATGATACTACAACCACCAAGAAGAATGAATGTAATTTACCACTTGCATTCCTTTGGGTTCACACCTTACATCCACTCTGTATTGTGTTCTAGGAGTCCTCTTTGCTCAAACTTGTCAAGCTGCTACTTGATCTAGAAGACTTGTGGGCTAGGGTTGTTATGTAGCTCAAGACCTGATTGATAAGCACAAGCTATTCTGGTGCTCTTGCTGGAACAAATGACTCAGCACTAAAGGTAGATGAAATTCAAAGGACACAAAATTGTGTTATATTGGCAATATGCACCATTTGATAGGACATTGTTAGCAGGGGGAAGTTAAAGCAAAATGTTCTGCAGCACTGTTGCAGTGTTTTATACTTCTTTAGTATATAATTAAAGTTTAATAATGGGTTCTTAGTTGAGTAAATATGATACGGTTCAAGTGACAATGACAAATTCTGGCAACACCCAGTGATTCATAAAAGTAGACACACCCCTGTTAAAAGGGTAGGTTTTTAATGATGGAAAGAAATAATACCACATTAAATAATTTATCTTAAATTATTGATTAAAGCTCTATAAATCTGACATAAGTCCTGCACTAGTAAAGTGAAAAAAAAAAAAAAAAAAACATTTTCTTTGGAGAAAGAGCCAAAGAAAATGAGCTACTTAAGATTACTGACATAATAACTTGTTTAAGCACCGTTTGGTTTACTTCTAGTTGGAAATTTTCTTTCAAAAGGGCTCTGCCAGCATGCCAGATCTTGACTTGGCAGAAGCTGCCCTCTCTTCCCTGATAAAGAGGACACCTTTCGACGCTCCTGTCCAGATTACCACAGAGACCTATTTATGCTCAGATTTAGTACTGGACTCTGGTACGTTATAAAGTTTTAGTTTTCTTCACAGAAAGAGCCATTCTTATATTGACTTGGATGTATATTTAAAATCAATGTGATGATGGAAAATAAGGTTCCTCTTCATATTCTTGAGCTTAAGCTGATGGATATTTGACAATGTCCATCTTTCTTGAAAAAAAAAAAAAAAAAAAAAAACATGTTTCACATAATCCAAGAACATGAAACTGAGCCCACCAGGTTTCAGAGAAGGTTTTCTATTCTTTAGAGGAGGTTTTTCTTTCCTGGTTGATACCTTTGAACTATGATTCTTCTGATTCTTTGCAACCTCTTTCAAAACTTTAAAAATCCAGCCAAGAAAAAGTGAACAGAACCGCACTAGTGCAGCTGAATTTTATTTATGATAATTCAGTTCACTAAAAATAATATGTGTGAACCACAAAATGAATGAATGCTATAAATACATTTAAAAGTGCTTCAGCAGAGTATGGTTAAGTGTGTGCAAAGTTATGCAAGTAGGTTTTTATGTTTTCATGCTAACAGATTTCCTATATTCTTGTTTTGGCAAACTGTGGACATAAGTCATTCAAAGGTGGAAACAATTTTTTAAAATAATTTATTATGTTTTATTTATTTTAGAGCATAAAAGCTTTGCCTTTTAACACAACTGTTCTTTTTTATGTTACTGTATTTTTTGGTTCATAGGGAGACCATCTGCTGGGCTAAAAAAATAAAAAATAAAACATAGAAACTGAAATTCACAGAAAGGGAAACTGATCCACTTCCAACTTCATATGATTTATATGTAGGTATTAAACCAGAAGATTCAGACTCTTAAATAAAGGCTGCCAACATATTGTGGTAATTAAGTACAGCATATTTATTAAGTGCAGCAAGACTGTTGCAGAATGACATCTTCCAGGGTTAAATCCACGCCTGTTAGAAAACTCAGATTGATGTTTGATGTTTGAAGAGAACTGTATATCATTTTTGCTAGGGTACATACCGAAAGTGTTACTGTTATTTCTATTTGATGATTCTTGCTTGGGTTTCTCCGTTCTTTATTCTGGGAATCTTGCGAAAGGCTTCATATCAAAAGTTTTTCTGCTCAAACTGCAGTTTGTTATACAAGCAAATGTTTCACAAAGTTCAGGCAGCGGATCTGTTCCTCTGTAATCAACACAACTTGGGAGCCTGGCTGTCGATTCAAATCACAACTTTTGCAGCATTGGTGATGTGAAGTGACATGTTTTGTAAAGATGTGCAGAAAGCTCCACATGTGCCAACTTATACAGGAAATTTTGCTTCCTTTACTCAAGAAAGACACATTATTTTCGCAGACACTTTTCTGAGTCAAGCAAAGTGAAACTCCAAGGAGTTACCAGGAAAGCAGATGTGTTGTGCAGTTTTTCAAACCATGCTTTTTGTTGATTGTTTTATGCTGCTGAAAATAAACTTATTTCCCATTACTTGGTGCCACATTTGTATTGAAAATTAATTTTCAGATTGAGCAGCATGGTTGAGTGTTTTGATTGCACCCAGGAAAATCTTTGCCAAAATGTCTCCGCCAGCGCTAAACAGCTTATTCCGCAATTGACGATTGGAACTTGGAGAAAACAATTAGTAATTTACTAATTTATTTCATTAGCCATCAGCCTGACAGTCCCTCCTCATGCTGCTTTTTCCACTGACACTGCAATTCCAATTTCCAAGCAGCATCTTGTGCAAGTGAGCTAAACCATTTCATGTTGGAGCAAACAGTTGTAAACAAGTTTCAACCATCTGACCAAAACAGTGAAAGGATATTGGTTGGGCTGTATAAGAATTGCCCATAAACCACACAGGCTCATGAACTTTTAGCTGCTGATTCACCAGCATCACTTTCCACAAAGAATGAGCATAATGCTTTATGGAATGGTATGATATTTTGTGGCATCTGTTAGGGAAGGATAAAAGCAACAATCAAAACATATTTAAAAGTTGATCAGTTATTGATTAAAGCTCCACAAATCACCCATCATCAAACAGACTACTTTCTGTACAAACATATATGTGTTTTGAAACTATGGACTCAAGAACATCATGAATAAATGATCTCAAACCACCCAGGTCTTGTTTTTTGAACATTATTGCAATTTTTATTGCATAATCATTCCATGTTGTAAAAAGAGCAGTGTTTAAACATTTAACTAGAGCATTACACTGTGTAGACTTTGCAAATATCAAACCACAGAAGATCTTTGAGAGCAACAAAGCTTTCTGCTAAAAAAAAATAGCGCTAATGATAAAACAGTCACAAATAACAATGTTATGACCATTCCTCCAAAATGAACTTCCTGCCCATCTCTTTCAGAGGAGCAGTAAAACAAAGGGCTTTTTAGGTATTCTGACATTGTCAAGTTCCTCACTTGTGTAAAGCATTTGGCCTGGCTAATGTCAGGCAGCTTAACCCTCATGTCATTCAAGACTGTCAACCATCTGCTGTCACAGCAGTTGAAACGGTTGCCACTAATATACACGGTAGTCAGATTTGTGGATACAGCCTCAACCAAAGAATAGTTTAGGGTCATGAAGTCATTGTTTCTTACATCGATTACTTTAAGAGAAGAGCACCGTAAGCTGCTAGGTGTTGCATTAAGTTTGTTGTTTGATATGTTGATCTCAGTCAGTGCGGGCATGCAGGGTAAGGACAGACCCGAGCCGTTTATGTTTATCCCACTGATTATCAAAGACTGCAAAGTTGTTTGCACACCTTCCAGTGCCATCTCATGTATTAGCATGTGGAGATTTTTGGCAAGATTTAAGGAAATGAGTGAGGTCCCCTGAAAGGCATTTGGCAGAAGTATTTTTATGTCATTTTCTCGAAGATTGAGGTGTCTAAGAGTCTTCAGCTGCCCAAATGCAGTGCAGGCATGATCAAAATCGGTATGATTTTTTAACAAAGATCCACTCAAAATGCCACACGGTTGCAATGAATTGTCTTGTAGATTCAGTGTTTCAATTTGTGTGAGCGTCTTGAGGAAGACCAGGGGCAGACAGGTCAGACCGTTGCCCTGCAAGTCGAGGTGCTTTAAGGAATGGAAAATTATCTGACGAACTTGCCTCGGATCACTATAATTTCTAACATCCCAGTTTATGTTTTGCAAACAGTTGTAGCTAAAATTGAGTGTTTCTAAAGAGTTAAGCAAGCTCAACGTCTCAAGAGGAAAAGAGGCAAAGCGATTAAAGCTCAGGTTAATGTAAATCAGTGGCATTGGCCTCCAGTTTGCATGAAAATAATTCTTTTGAAGCACCGACTCATTTACAACGTCCTGATAAAGAGAGTTTACTTCAGTTACCATCACGGCCTCTGAATCCAGAGCACCAAGCAAATTGTTCTGCAAGTGTAGATACTTGAGTCGATTCATTTTTGGTAGAATTGGGAAGTATAACAGCTTGTTGTGACTGAGGTCAAGAACTTCAAGATTGTACAACGCAGCATCCTCTGGAGTAACAAAGAACTCCACTGAATTTCTGCTGAGATTCAAATATTTCACCTGGTGCAATGTAAAATCACAGATAAATGCAAGATTGTTTCTTGCCAAGTTGAGAGATTCTAATTGGCTTAGTGGTTCAAACGTCTGCGGTGCTATTTCTGATATCAGATTATCCTCAATAATAAGAGTCCTTATACGTTTGCTCTCTCGAAACAGGCTGGGTGACAATTTTATTAAAACGTTACCAGTCATCATAAGTTGATCAAGGGAAGACTTGTTTCTCAGTAATAGCTCGGCAGCGCCATTACTCAAGCCGTTCATTGATATATCCAAGCTCCTGAGTCCGCCGAGGGATCTGAGGGCTTTGCTGTTGCTGCCAAGGCTGACGCTCAGTCGATTCCTGGACAAATTCAAATGTTCAAGCCGGGCCAGGTTTACAAAAGCCGCCTCGGAGATAAGATCCATCTGGTTTCCGCTCAGGTCAAGCTCCTCCAAGTACGGCAGAGCAAACGAATGTAGCTGTGTGATGAAGTTATTTGACAGGTCGAGCCTTCGGAGCCTTACATCCAGATCCAAGGGGACAGAGGAGAGGTTCTGATTGTTCCAGGACTGATTCTTGAAATGAAATGAACATTAATCATGGTTAAAATAAACTACGCGTCCCAAGGAAACTAAGGCCTAAACAGATCTCTTTTAAGAATTTGCCGTTGAGCCTACCTTTGAAGTAAGATGAGTCCCTCCAGGTCTGTAAAAGCCAAGGATAATTGACCAAAGAAGTACGAGATTAGAGAACGTATGTCTAACCATTGTGTCTGCTCTGCTATACTCAACCCCTGCTGTGTTCAGAGCTCACACACCACCTCTTATAGCCCATGCTTCACAAAAAAAGCAACAGAGTAAACAGCTGTGGACAATAGATACAGACAGCGTGGTCTCTATTTTTAGACAACTGATTATCAGTCTCTTTTTACTAAAATGATGCAAACAGATCTCCTTTTATTTATACATAAATAAAATACATAAATGGATTTCCAACACATATGCTCATTTCTTTGTTTTGGTTTCCTGAATGTTTGGGGAAACAATAAGAACTGTAAAAAGATGAACAATTATGACACTTGCATAAGCTGCAATATTTACGCATTTTTAATTGATTAAAGACATTGCAGGATTTACATTGCCTTGTGCAGCTTCATTTCAACCAAGCAAACCCTTTACAAAGTGATATCAATTTATACATCTGTTTGTTCCTGCCAAAGTCTGAGGAAAGCGGAAATCAGTCCTGAAATAGAGGAGAGGAACAAATAAACAGACAAGGCGTTGGTGGAGCAGGAGCGCGGTATAAAGAGACACTTTAAAATAGAGTGATGAAAGATCCTAGTGGGACAGAAAAAGAGCAGCAACAGACAACCACACAGGGGAAAAATCTTTTAAAATATGCATTTTTAAGGATAAAGAATTCAAATTAGGTATTTTTTATGCTTAAGTTTTTTTTCCCTTACTTCAGATTACTTATCCAGGAGGTTTGTGTTTCTGTGTAGTATAATTATAACTTCACAAAGGCTCATTTCTTTAAGCCACATTCACTATGCCGCAACCCACAGTGAGCACAAAGGTGAGGGAGGTAAAACAAAAACTCTCTAAAACACCTCGTTCCTACTGTTAAGTGTAAAGGATTTATTATAGCCCAATGTGTTTTTTTGAAATACCATCTCCAAGCAAAGTTATTCCAAATTTATAACAACGTCAACACAGAAATTGTTGATCGGACACAAAATCAGTGATCCCCCATTTCTCCCAGTTAATCTATGGGCAATTAGTGGGGTGAGCTGAAAGGAAGGGAGCATAAGAGAAGACTCAGGATTGGGTGATCAAAAATGGTCAAAACTCCTTTCTGCATATGCTCCAACCTCGTGCGATGTTATATACAAATAATCTGCAGTGAATATACAAAATAATTGAAACATTCATTTGATTTGGTTAAAAACACCCTTCTCAATCTACGTTTTATTTCCCCCTGCATTATGAATGTGCTCAAATTAAATGTCCAACTGTGTGTGCACATCGTTTACACTTAAGTTTCCAGCTGTTTTCCTGTTGCTGATGGTTGTTTATCTGCATCCTTTCACTCAGCACTGTGGCAGTTTCCCATTTCCTGCAGTAACGCCATCTATTTATGTGGACTTGTTTCAGTTTAGCTGTACGACACCAAAAAAGGTCGAGTCAGCCTCCAGAGAGATCAGAGCCGATGGTCGACAAGGGATCGTCATTTCCAGTTCCTCACCCAGAAGCAAGTGCACAGTGCCTGGAATAAAGAAACATGTTTCAAACTGAAACACCTTTTTATTCTTTAAATATTTTCCCATTTTTTATGTACAACTTTACAGATAAAATGTAACTTGATGAACAACTTATTATCCTTGAGCAGGGCTTCCCCTATCAGCCCTTTAACGACTTATTACCTGCCATTATCTGAGAGGTATGAGCTCAGTTCCACCAGCTGTCTGCTAATTGTTGCTGACTAGTCTGAAGGAGCTGAGTGGGAAACTGCAGCTCTGAGACAGAGCTCGGTCCAGCCAGGCGTTTTGCACAGTTCAGTGGTTGCCACGGGAGATTGTAGGATTTCTCAAATAGTCATAAAATAATCAAGGCAACACTCCAAGTATATTTTTGAGGAGGGAATAACATTATAACATTATGTAAAGCTAAAAAAACATAAACTTATTGAGGCTGCTTTCTCACAGTAAGGAAATATATATCAATGTACCTAAAACTTGATAATTATATTTAAAAATTATAAAACCTTATACTTTTGCTTAACATATCAGATGCTTTATTTTGAGAGTAAATTGAAATTTCATAACTTAACCTCAAGCTCTCGTCTGGCATGAAAAATGGCTGTCAAACTGTTTCTGAATACTTTTAAAGTTTTACTTTAATTTCATAAATGGCTGTGATTCCTGCTGTTTTATCCACATATATCATGTTGCGGTTGTCCTGACACAAACTGACTAGAACACAGTTCAAAGAGGAGCGTATATGTATTTCAACACACATTAAATCATTTAGCGAAAACATCTGCCAAAAGAGTAATTGTTATGGTTCCTCACTCTTATGTGTAACTTCTTAAATATGTGGGTCGGTGCTGAAAGATGAGCTGACTTATACAAGAGCAGAGGCGCAGGCTTAAAGAATAGGAAACATTTTTTAGGTAAGGGTTTTTTTTAAATCCTGTTTGACAGCTACACTGACAGTTGCAGGTCATTTTCTATAATCACAGCACACTTTTATTTCATCCGTCTTGCTCAGATGTCTTGCTGGTTAGAATTGAAATCAACAGCATCTAAAATCAAACTCCTAATAGTAAAACTTAAAGTAAAACAAAGTTTCTAAATCTAAAATTGTGTTTGGAAATATGTTTATTGTATCCAAGCAGAAGCTTAAAAGGTTATGCTAAGAATTTATAGTTATTTCAATCCATTTTCATAAATCTTTCTTTCCCAGGTCAATAGGAACCTCTTAGACATCCATCAGGAGTTTTTATTTATCCCACAACATTTTACATATTTCAACCATTATTCTTCACAGGACAAATTAATGAACAAATGGCTTTTGTCCTAAATCATGTGGGTGCTTGCAGCTCCAAATAGCCCTAATTGGATAAATCCTTTAATTAGCATTGTGTGTATTTGATATAACACTTTTCAGATATCAACATTTATTTTTTTTTACCATTCATTTAATTTCACCTGCAATAAGACTAAAATGACCTCCCAAGTTGTTCCTTTTTCTAACTAAAATGTTGCTTGTGGTGTTCAGAATAACTCCTGCAGGTGCACATTTCTTACATTTACAAGTTATGGGGATTTTTTTCTTTTTTTCCCGGCAGTAGGACGGCCCACATTAGAGCAGCTCGGACTACTGACCATGTAAATTTCTGCTTAAAACACATTTGCTTTCCTTAGTTCTTTGAATTACAATATAATTTGTGTCTTTCATGCTTATCGTTTATATATATATATATCTTAATCTTTGTTAAGCACTGTGGCCTGCAAAGATTGGCCTACTATAAAATACAACATTTCTTAGTGAACCCTTGAATTTGTCTGCTCACATGCAACAAAAAGCAGCAGCTGCTGGGTCTCACTGACCTGCAGTGTAGCACGTGTTGTCATAAGCTCCCTCTGTTTTATCCTGCAGGCAGCGCAAGAGCTCTGTGGGTCTCATCTCTGCCTCAGTGGAGCTCCAGCTTTGAATGACATAACCCATAACTGTGCTTTGACTTTGAAACAAAACCTGTGAGTTAAGCAGAACATTAGCAGAATACTTGGAATAAATCATATGCAATATCAACTTAGTTACGCTTTATTTGGAATGACACAATACTTGTCCAAACACCAAGTAATAACCATCTTCTTGGACAACGATCCTATTTTCCCTCTGTGAAATTGTATTTCCTCGCTGTGCAGAAACAGTCCAGGGGATCACAGTTATATTTCCTGGGGGGAAAGGCAAAACACATTGATTCAAAAATAATGGCAGAAAGGAGTCGAACTGAGGCCAAGTACTTGAATTTAGTTTTACCTCTTCTCTCTGGGTGTTTGTTAGTGTTAGCTCTCAACTGTAGGAATGATAACGGCGCTGGCAAGAGAGGCAGATAAGAGCCATGCTTTAATTTTATTAACTGTGAAGATGTTATTTCTGATCCCACTACCAGATTACACTGTAAAACCCAGCACCACATCTCAACTCATAAAGGAGATTAGTTACCACAACTTGGCTTTTCACAAAAAGTCCGTCTATAAAAGTTACATCAAATGTTGGCGCTTGAAAAAGAACTAAACATGTTTACATTTCATGACTTAAATGTGTTGTCTTGACTAATTGATTTTAAATTTATTATAATACCGTTTAAACTTTGGAGACAGTATCTTGCTTTCAAGATATGGAACAAAAGCTGGTTGTGCTTAAAATAATTAATTTATTTTAATAATTAACAACTAGAAAATTATGACTTAATTTGTTTTATATCTGAAAATATGAGATCCACTAAGTGCGATACAATAGACAACATACATAATCACCAAGTCTGTTAAAAGATTTTTTAGAGTTCTTAAAATTTTTTTTAAATTATTTAAAATTTAAAATAAGGCAAAAAAGCCCTTAACCATACATTTTGAAGGCCTCAACCCAAGGCTACTCCACATAAGAAAACAGACATTGCTTGGCTTTACAGAAACAGCACCAAACATAACAGTTTGCTGATTGTAAGTGTTAACATTTGCTATCGTGATGTTTCGCTGCACTGACACATTTCTCATTCAATTGTTTTAAACAGTCAGTGGAAGCAGCTGCCATCTGACTAGCTGTCAGCTAATCAAAAAGGAAAAATAATAACCAAAACTAATAACTTCAAAGAACCTCACCTAAAAAAAAAATAAAAAAAAATACAAACTAACAATTTTAGTTGACTTCACTTAGAAAATATCTAAAGTTTTGTGAACTTGGCAATATCAGAGACACCTTAAGAGCAGTCTGTATTATGTATGACTACCTCAAATTACTCAGTAGTTGGGTTCTAATGCATGCCATTTTAATCATATTAAAAGTTTATGTGCATGTTAGTTAATAAACTACTTTGAAGCAAGATAAGTTTTTCGCCTACCATTTGGGTTTTACAGTGTAGAGCATAACTAAAAAGCACATTTTATCTTTTTTTTTTTTTTTTAGTTCTCGGCTCCAAACCCACCTCTGCAGCTGCTCTGTTCTCTTTTTACTCTCCTAGAAAAGCTCTCCAGAGAACTCTGAGCTCT